TACTGTTGTGGGTTTAGTAATACTTTAATTATAAATAGCCAGTACTGGGGGAGAGAAAAAAGCAGCATGTTTGAAGGACAGTAGTAGTAGTAGTAGGGGTGTATTGGTGGTCTGGGATGATGCATAGCAGTCTTTTCTTACCATACCTTGTGTATCATGGAATTTTGTGACGATGCAATTCACTGAAGCATTGCACCTTAAACTACATGTGTACTGAGGCCTTAAATTGAGTAGAAGTGTACCCCTGCCCAGGCTTGAGGCCATACAGGGAAGCAGAACATTTTGGTAGAACTGTTGGGGTAACAAATCCTATAGATCTTATCCCTGCAAAGTTACAGGCCTCCGGAACTGGAAAACTGGCCTTCCAACACTATTTACAGACAGGCACTACCTCTTACATCCTGTTGAAACCATTAATGTAATCTAATAATCAGAAGTAATAGAGATCTGATGATGTCCTTATAGGCACCCATAAGACAAGAACAAAGTTGGATGACTAGGCACTGTTACATGTGAAGAAGTGCTCTGCTGCTTCTAAATGGGAATTATATGCTAATAGTGTATGTTTTTTTCTTCTTGCTTCTTTGGTTGCTTATTGCTTTGTCACAGTAAATTGTGCCAACAAATCCTTGTTAAACTAATTTTTAGATTTTAAGTATAGGTTAATTCAGATATTGCCAACTGTCAGTATTTTCAGAAACAGTTTGTAAAAAGCATCCTAATTTCTACCTTCTGAAGAAGTCTGTGCATGGGCGAATGTTCCCTCTTCCACCCTATCCCCTGCCCTCACTCCACACTCTTTTGTTTAATGCATGGCAATGCAGTGCCTGTGAAAGCGGTTGTGTGGGGCATGAGGGCAGCAGATTTGAAACAAAACATGCAGTTGTAGATCCAGGCTGCTTGATAACATTTCCTGAGCCTCAGGGAGACAGGTCTGGGCTCTGGGTTGACCAGAATTGGTGAAGGGGTATTTTGAATACTGAACACTCTTCCTACTCCCTCTCTCAAACCTCTCTATTACCTGGAAGGAAATAGTTCTTATTAACTGGCATTCCTTTTTGTATAATGCCTCCATTTTTAGATGTGTGAACAGTTAGTTTCAGTTTGGTAACTTCTCTCTCGTTTTCTTAGACTAGTTTCATTTCTGTAAACGGAACTACCTTATATGGTATCTGTCAACCAGGGGTGGACTGACAACTCATGGGGCCCCCGTGCAATAGGGGATCATGGGGCCCCTGTGTCCTTGCCCAAACTCAAAAAAGCCTATGAAAAAGGTATCAGGGGCATCTCATGGGGCCCCCTACTGACCCCGGGCCCTCGGGCAGTGCCCGAGTTTCCAAATGGTCAGTCCGCCCCTGCCCTCAACTATTTGCAGTTCCTGTTCTTCACGTAACTATATTGATAAGAATTGACATCCTGAGATTAAGCAACGCCTACTGAGTTTTGTATAACCATTCTTGTCATGCAACGTTCAGAGATTTAGCTTACACACTTCGGTGTCCGGAGCTTTATTTCTCCCAGGCCTGAGGGTGGAAATAATGAGGACAGGGGCTACAGACATAGGTTGAATCCTTGTATTACCCCTCCTTTTTCTTCCCCTCATCTGAACCATACCATGTTAATGCCCTCAAGTATGAGGGCTCCCCACAGGGGGAACCTCTAGCAAAGCACCTTGTCCCCATGTTGATGAGGACAAGGGCCTCTTCCTCACAACCCTTCTTTATGCAGGTTGGCAGCATCATAGTCATCATGGATATGCATCGCTGGATGACATAATTGATGGTGGATAAACATTGTGGGCTTTTTTTTTTTTTAATTAAAACACCACTTCGCCTTGTTCACACACATCTAAAATGCAAACGCATTCATAAGGTGCAGATGTGCATGTAAATAACAATTGCACAACACATATTGGGTAACACTTCACATGTCAGGGAATAAAACATATCCTACCCATTCTCCTTTTGCTAATCACTGATTGGGCACTTTCCTAGTTTTTGTACTAGAAAACCTGGTACTGTATGATTTTTGTATCGTAACTTATCTCATCTTTTCACTTTCACAGTTCACTTCTTCTAAAAAAAAAATAATAATTGCACATAATTTTGCATCTAAAAAAATATGCTTTATGATTCTTTTTACCTTGGAGCCTACAAAGCTATGCACCTCCAAACAGTAGATCAGGGATGCAAGGTCAGGCTGCTGCAGACACTCTTGACAGTTGTCTTCCTGTATCACCACACAGGCAGACAGTTACTCAGCTGCATGAAGTGTCAATGAACTATGCAGGTGCTGATGAGTACATTGAGAACTACAAGCTATCTGCCGCTGTGGCAGACGGGACTTGTAGTTCAGTCATTCACAGATTGCCCTGCCTACACAGCTGTGCTGTTTTCAGATATGTCACAATTTTACACTCAGGCAGTAAGGTGCAGCATTAGTAATATGTTACATATTACATCCCGAATGTGGATGGAACATGTTACTAAAGGTAAACATATCCTGATTCTGCCAATTGTGTGCTTTTAACATATTCACATTTTGTCTCTGGTAATATGTTGTGTTTTTTTTTTCCAATGAACCATTGTCTCAATCTAAAGTTGGTTTATCAAGTGAAATTTTATTGATTATATATTGCATGGTGTAAACGCACACAGAATTTTTATGAAAGGTAGTAACATAAAAGTAGGTAAGTAGATCTGGACTTCATACTTGACACTTGATATTTGTCATCCCAGTTTGTGTTGTTGACAAACAGTTGAGTAACCCATGTTTTGTCAGGTTGTAGCCTAAAATAAGCAGTGAGATTTTCTATTACTCCATCATGCAGCAACTAATTTTACTTTTGCTTCTTATTCTAATAATATTGTCTAAAAATCACATGATTTCCTATACCAAACAAACTAAAATGGTTCAACTTGGCAAAACGTTTTTTTTTTAAATTTCGGATAGAGTGGATAGGGAATAGAACACCTGTCAGGTTTTTATTGCTGCCTATGTCCCTATTAGAAAGATTCACCCTCTCTCTCTGTCTGGTGACTGTCATCACCAATCCCATATTTTGGGTTGTCCTCAGAACAGTAACAGAGGGAAAAACGTTTCACTAGTTCTGGTGGCAACCTAGGATTCCCTCGCTTTGGTGGGATTTCTTCTCACTTCTTGTTTTTGTTAAGAGCCAATAAGTAAAGGGAAATTTCCTCAATGGCACGTAGATGGCAAAAATAAAATTGACGGGGGTTATAGCCTTCCGCTACTCTATCCAAAATAAGAAAAAAAAGTTTTCCCTCTAATTCTACTTTAAATGTTGTGCCGCCTATTGGATTATTGATATGGCTGCTATGCCATGCCATTAAGATTTTCATTCATATTTACTTGTCTTCTGCTTCATATGATATATTGCCCAAAGACATGAAGCTAGCTGGCTTAATCAGCAACAAAAGTGTCCTAAGAAAACATATTTAAAAGAAATCTGCAGAGGCTGCTATTATTAACCTTTAACCCTTTGAGGACCAATGGACGTATTTGTCCAATTTTTATAATTGCGTGTATCATCTGATTAAGAACTTAAAACTCTTTTTTTTTTGGTTTGAGTCAAAATATTAGTTCTTATCAACAAACAACAAATGGATCTAGCTTTTTGTCAATTATTTCATGAAATGGCTTAGTTACAGCAACTGAAATGTATGAACTTTAAAAACGAAAAAATTGATTCTTTTGGCTTTCCAAAATCTTACGGTCCTCAAAGGGTTAATGCTTTCTGAGTCACTGCCATGGAACAAGCAAATCAGAAAGTCAGAGTAAAATAAGAGTAGAATAAGAAGGACCTGTGTGCATTATAGTTCAGCATGACAGATAGGCAACCAGCCTTTTAAAATGAGCGCTTAGAATTGGCAGCTTCCCTATTCTCTCAACTCATGTTTCCTTTAAAGAGAGAATATGGTGAACTTATTCAATGACTTATGTTAACTACCACTTTTTACTTCTTTACTAAAGGAATCAATCCTTCATTTTTGAGCCTTGGAGTATTCCTTGTGACTTTGCAGGGCTTGTGTTGATAGAAACGTATATGTCATTTTTAAGCTTGCGCATTATAGTTAATGAATTAAAATACGAAATGCTCTTCTTACTATGTGTTTTTGTAATGAATATGTTAGCTATTAGCTCTAAAGTTATGAAATTGCTTTTCATAAAACCTTTTTTTAAGAAGACCTTACATTAAAATGTAATGTTTAATCTGTGCTAGTGCTGCAATTGGGAGCGAGCACTGATTGTTTATCTGAGGACATCTGGCCCACTTCAGCTTGTTGTAAGGTGACCAAACATGAGCAATGAGAGAAGTTGACATTAAAGCGGAGTTCCAGCTGAAAAAAGAAATAAAACTCAGCAGCTTCAAAAACTGTAGCTTCTGACTTTTAAAATACAGTCCAGCACAGGGGCGTACTGACCACTCATGGGGCCCCTGTGTCCTTGCCCAAACTCAAAAAAACCTATGGAAAAGGTACCAGGGGCATCTCGTGGGGCCCCCTACTGACCAGGGCCCTTGGGCAGTGCCTGAGATTCCAAATGGTCAGTCCGCCCCTGGTCCACTGGTGTCCTCACCATCACTGGTTTCACCGGCCGTCTTCTCTCCCTTGCACCGGCATCTTCAGTGTGGGTACCCGGCTGTGACAGCTTGCAGCTTCACAGCCAGGTGCCCATTGTGCATGCGTGAGAAGCGCTGCACTTTTTGAATGGCCCCGTAGTCTTCTGGGACCTGCAACATGTCCCAGAAGACTGCGGGGAGGACAACTTCCACTTCCGATCGCCTCAGGTGATCGCAGCGGAAGTGGGGGCGAGTACCTGTCAAATTCGGGTACCCACTCCCAAAAGGTGCCAATCCTTAATGGGGAGCGGGGGACAAAGACTTAAAGCGGAACTTCCCCTTTTGGGTGGAGCTCCACTTTAACTTACACTAGGGAAGTATAATATAACTTATAACATAACTTTAACCTATTTTTTCCTTATGTACCCATGCAGCCAGGGACAGACTGACCATTCGGGCACTGCTGAAGGGCCCATTCTCAGTAGGGGGCCCCATGACAGTTTCCAATGGAATCTACCTATCAATCAAAGGTAGTTGACAGGTAGATTAGCTTCCTCCCTGCTCAGCTGTGCCCTGTGCCCTGCTGTTTTCCCCATTATCTGCTGTGTGCCCATTATCTGCTGTGTGCCCCATGCTTTGCTGTGTGCTCCATGCTCTGCTGGGTGCCCCGTTCCTTGCTGTGTGCCCTGCTGTGTGCTCCATGCCCTGCTGTGTGCCCCATGCCCTGTTGTGTGCCCTACAGTGTGCCCTGTGTCCTGCATTGTGCCCTGTGCCATGCTATCTGCCCCATGCCCTCTGTGTGCCCCATGATCTGCTGTGTGCCCCATTCCCTGCTGTGTGCCCCTTGCCCCTCTGTGTGCTCTGCTGTGTGCCCCGTGCGCTGCTGTGTGCCCCTGTGCCCTGCTGTGTGCCCTGTGTCCTGTATTGTGCCTTGTGCCATGATGTGTGTCCCGTGCCATGCTGTGTGCCCTGTTCCTTTCTGTGTGCCCCTGTACCCTGTTGTGTGCCCCCTGCCCTGATGTGTGCCCTACAGTGTACTCTGTGTTCTGCATTGTATCCCTGTGCCCTGCTGTGTCACCCATGATCTGCTCTGTGCCCCATACCCTGCTGTGTGCCCCATGATCTGCTGTTTGCTTCATGATCTGCTGTGTGCTCAGTGCCTTGCTGTGTTCCCCGTGCCCTGCTGTGTGCCCTGCATTGTGCTTGATGCCCTGCTGTGTCCCCCATGATCTGTCATGTGCCTGGTGCTCTGCTGTTTGCCCCATGATGTGCCCCGTGCTCTGTGATGTGTCCCGTACCCTGCTGTGTGTCCCATGCCCTGCTGTGTGCACCATGATGTGCACCGTGTCCTGCTGTGTGCCCCATGCCCTGCTGTGAGCCCTGTGATGTGTCTCATGATTACCCTTGCTGTTTGCCATACTGTATTCCCTGTGCTCTACTCTGTGCCCTACTGTGTGCCCCATGATCTGTTGTGTGCCCTGTGCTCTGCTGTGTGCTCCATGGTCTGCTCTGTGCCCCATGATCAGCTCTATGCATTGTGCCCTGCTGTGTGCCCCATGATCTGCTGTGTGCCCGTGACCTGCTGTGTGCCTGCAGTGTGCCCCATGCCCTGCTCTGTGCCCTGCATTGTCCCCCATGATCTGTTGTGTGCCCAGTGCCCTGCTGTTTGCCCCATGATTTGCCCTGTGACCTGCTGTGTGCCCCATTCCCTGCTGTGTGCTCCATGATGTGAATTGTGCCCTGCTATGTGTCCCAAGATCGGCTGTGTGTCCCATGATGTGTCCCATGCCCTGTGCCCTGCTGTGTGCCCCTTGATGTGCCCTACTGTGTGCCCCATGCCCTGCTGTGTACCCTGTGATTTTCCCTATTCTGTGCCCTGTGCACTGCTGTGTGCCCTGTGATGTGCCCCATGATTGCCCTGCTGTGTACCCTACTGTGTTCCCTGTGTTCTTCTGTGTACCTTGTGCCCTGCTATGTGCCCTGTGATGTGCCCTTCCATGTGTCCTGTGATGTGCCCTACTGTGTGCCCTGTGATCTGCCCCATGCCCTACTGTGTGCTCCATGACTGCCCTGCTGTGTGCCCTGTAGCATGCACTATGATGTGCCCTTTTGCCCTGCTGTGTGCCTTATGCCCTGCTGTGCTCCAGGATGTACCCTATGCCTTATTGTGTGCACCATGCCCTGCTGTGTGCTCCATGATGTGCACCGTGCCCTGCTGTGTGGCCCATGATCTGCTGTGTGCCCCTTGATCTGTCCTGTGCCCTGCTCTGTGCCCCTTGATGTGCTCTGTGTGCCCCATGCCCTGCTGTGTGCCCTGTGCTCTGCTGTGTGCCCTGTGATGAGCCCCATGATTGCCCTGCAGTGTGCCCTACTGTGTTTCCTGTGCTCTACTGTGTGCCTTGTGCCCTGCTATGTGCCCTGTGATGTGCCCTTCCATGTGTCCTGTGATGTGCCCTACTGTGTGCCCTGTGCCCTGCAGTATGCACTATGATGTGCCCTGTGCCCTACTGTGTGCCTTGTGATGTTCCCTACTGTGTGCCCCATGTGTGCCCTACAGTGTATCACCCTACTGTGTGCCCCAAGATTTGCCCTAATGTGTGCCCCATGATGTGCCGTGTTGTGTGCCCTGTGATGCCTCATGCTGTGTCCCATATTGTGCCCTGTTGTGTGCCCCATACTGTGCTCTGCTGTGTATCCCACTGATGTGCCCTGTTGTGTGCTCTGTAATATGCCCTGATGTGTGCCCCAAAATATGCCCTGTAATATGCCCTGCTGTGCCCCGTAATGTGCACTCTTACCCCAATGTAATATGCCCTGCTGTGCCTCATATTATGCCCTGCTGTTCCTTAAGATATGCCCCTTAATGTGTCCTACTGTTTCCCCCATACTGTGCCCTATAATTGGCCCCCTCACCCCATGTAACATCCCCTGCTGTGACCCATAATTACCCTATTTCCCTCATGTAATATGCCCTGTTGTGCCCCATAATGTGCCCTCTTGCCCCCATGCAATATGCCCTGCAGTGTCCCATTAAGTGCTCTGCTATGCCACCATAAGGTGCCCTGCTATGCCCCATAATGTGCCATGCTGCCCTCCTTAATGTGCTCTGCTGTGCCCCATAATGTGCCCTCGTGCCCCCATGTTCTACGCCCTGCTGTCCCCCATATTGTGCCCGCTTGTCTCCATGTAATATGCCCCATTGTACCCAATAATGTGCCCTCATGCCCTCCTGTTATATGCTCTGCTGTGGGCCATAATGTGCCATCCTGCTTTATGCATTGTTCTCTGCTATGCCCCATAATGTGTCCTGCTACCCCCCCCCATATGTAATGTGTCCTACTGTGTCCCATAATGTGGCTTCCTGCTCTATGTAATGATCTCTGATATGCCCCATAATGTGCCCTGATGCCCCCCATGTAATGTACTCTGCTGTCCCCCCCCCTATAATGTGCCCTAGTGTGCCCCATGCCCTTATGTGTGCCCTCTAGTGTGCCCTGCATTGTGCTCTGTGCCCTGCTTTGTGCCTTGTGCCCCATGCCCTGCTATGTGCCCCGTGCCCTACAGTGTGCCCCATGTCTTGCTCTATGCCCTATGATCTGCTGAGTACCCTGCAGGGGTGGACTGACAACTCATGGGGCAATAGGGGATTATGGGGCCCCTGTGTACTTGCCCAAACTCAAAAAAGCCTATGAAAAAGGTACCAGGGGCATCTCATGGGGCCCCCTACTGACCCCGGGCCCTCGGGCAGTGCCTGAGTTTCCAAATGGTCAGTCCGCCCCTGGTACCCTGAACCCTGTTGTGTGCCCCGTGATCTGCTCTGTGCCCCATGCCGTGCTGTGTGCCCCATGATCTGCTGTGTGCCCAATGCCCTGCTGTGTGCCCCAAGCCCTGCTGTCTGTCCTGCTGTATGCCCCATGCCCTGCTGTGTGCCCTGCTGTGTCCCTCATGATCTGTTGTATGCCCGGTGACCTGCTGTTTGTCCCATGATGTACCCTGTGCTGTACTGTGTGCCCCATGATGTGCCCCATGCCCTGCTGTGTGCTCCATGATGCCCCGTGCCCTGCTGTGTGCCCCTTGATCTGCTGTGTGCCCCATCATGTGCCCCATGCCCTGCTGTGTGCCCCTTGATGTGCCTTACTCTGTGCCCCATGCCCTGCTGTGTCCCCTGTGATGTGCCCTATTGTGTGCCCTGCTCTATGCCCTGTGATGTGCCCCATGATTGCCCTGCTGTTTGCCTTGTTGTGTGCCCTGCGTCCTGTGATGTGCCCTACCATGTGCTCTGTGATGTGCCCCATGCCCACTGTGTGCCACATGATTGCCCTGCTGTGTGCCCTGTGCCCTATGATGTAACCTATTTATTTCAGGTACTTATATAGCACCGTCAATTTACGCAGCACTTTATATATATATATATATTGTACATTCACATCAGTCCCTAACCCTCAAGGGGTGTACAATCTAAGGTCCCTAACTCATATTCATACATACACATACTGTACTAGGGCCAATTTAGACAGGAGCCAATTAACCTACCAGCATGTCTTTGGAGTGTGGGAGGAAACCGGAGTACCTGGAGGAAACCCATGCAGGCACAGGGAGAACATGCAAACTCCAGGCAGGTGGTGCTGTGGTTGGGATTCAAACCAACGACCCTAGTACTGCCAGGCGAAAGTGCTAACCACTAAGCCACTGTGCCCTGCTGTGTGCCCCATTCCCTACTGTGTGCCCTGTGATGTGCCCTACTGTGTGCCCTACAATGTTCCCCATGTGTACTCTGCAGTGTTCCCCATGATTTGCCCTACTGTGTGCCCCATGATGTGCCATGTTGTGTGCCCTATGATGCACCATGCTCTGCCCCATAATGTACCCTGTTGTGTTCCTCATAATGTGCCCTGCAGTGTGCCCCACTTATGCACCCTGCTGTGTGCACCATAATGTGCTCTGCTGTGTGCCCTCCAATATGCCCTGCGGTGTTCCTCAAAATGTGCCCTGTAATTTGCCCTGTGTGCCCCATAATGTGCACTCCTACCCCAAGGTAATTTGCCCTGTGTGCCCCATAATGTGCACTCCTACCCCAATGTAATTTGCCCTGCTGTGCCTCATAATATACCCTGCTGTTCCCTAAGATGTGCCCCATATTGTGCCCTGCTGTGTGCCCTAAAATGTTCCCCCTTGCCCCCAAGGAATGTCCCATGCTCTTCTCCACAATTTGCCCTATTGCCCCCATATAATATTCCCTGCTGTGCCCCATAATGTGCCCTCTTGCCCCCCATGTTATATGCCCTGCTGCATCCCATAAAGTGCCCTGCTGTGCCCCCTGTAAGGTGCCCTGCAGTGCACCATAATGTGCCATGCTGCCCCCTTAATGTGCTCTGCTGTGCCCCATAATGTGCCCTCATGCCCCCATATGCTATGCCCTGCTATCCCCCATAATGTGCCCTCTTGCACCCATGTAATATGCCCTGTTGTGCCCCGTAATGTGCCCTCATGCCCCCATGTAATATGCTCTGCTGTGCCCCATAATGTGCCCTCCTGCTCCATGTAATGTGTCCTACTGTGCCTCATAATGTGCCCTGCTGCCCCCCATGTAATGTACCCTGTTGTGCCCCCCCATAATATGCTGTGGTGTGCCCCATAATGTGCCCAGCTGCTCCCCATGTAGTGTGCCCTCCGGCCCACCCCCACGTATTGTGCCCTCCTGACCCCCTGTGTTCTTACCTGCTGACTCCTATACTTTGCAGTGCTTGATCCCATGCTCTGCCCTGCTGCCCCCTGTGTACTGCGTCTGCCTGAACCCCGTGCTCTGCCCTGCTGCCCCCTGTGCACTGCTTATCTCAGGTTCGACCTAGAATTGAGCATCTGTGCAGAAAGATGCAAGCACAATTTCACATTAAATTGGTAAGTTTTAATATTTATTTCATTTTTTTAATGCTATTACTAAAAAGAATTGTTATATCAACAGCTTGCTGATCGCTCCAATATTCTGTGAGCTGTAGATCTGAACATTATTTCAGGGCTTCTCTGAAATCCCAAACTTTTTGCCAATAGTTCTTCGAAGGTAGCGAAACCCTGCTTTATTGGGTCGCCAGCTTTAATTCTCCACCTCTCTGGACACTCGCCTCCTTAGTCCTGCCCTTCTCTCCTATTCTAGCCGATGGTAAATCACCCAGTTTTGATCCTCCGGAGGATGCTTTTGTACAGTGCAAGCTGGGGGGGGGGCTTTGTGTGGGTGAGGCCTGAGTGTGGGCGGGGACACAGGGGGCTCCATGATCTCCTATTTTCCAGGGGGCCCAGTGAGTTGTCAGTCCGCCCTGCATGCAGCATTATATTTGAATAGTGTAAGAAGCCTTATTGCTGCCCAAACACTAGTAGTACAGCTTTTCTAGACGACCATAAGTGTTGATTTACTAAAGGCATATAGATTGTTCCCTTTGCAAGGGAATGAAGCAAAATAGTTTTTTTACATTTACCTTGCACTATTTGCAAAGTTATATTTTCCCATATTCGCTATGCTCTAGGGAAAAATTCTTTGCAAAGTGCAACTTCCTTTTCAAGACGAACAGCCCATTTGGCTTTAGTCAAAAGAATAGTTGATTAGACTAATATCAGAAGATGAATAATTCTTTGCATTGCCATCTCATCTCTTGTATATTGTTAGACGAACTTGCAGTTTGAAAACAAGATGCCAGGTTACATTCTGCTTACAAAATGGAGAATAATGGGGAACCTATTAGGAAAATCAGAAAGTTTCTTTATTTCTATTATAAAATTTTGCAAACAGGTAATTTTTCTCCTTCACTGATGTGCGTTGATGAGGCAGCACTGATAGGCAGCACTAATGAGGTGGCATGGATAGGCGGCACTGATGATGGGTACTGATAGTCAGCACTGACTGGCGCAACTGCTGGGCACTGACTGGCGCAACTGCTGGGCACTGACTGGCACAACTGCTGGGCACTGACTGGTGGCACTGCTGGGCTGCACTGACAGGCACAGGTGGGCACAGGTGAGTGGCACTGCTGGGCACTGGTGGGCACAGTTGGGCAGCACTACTGGGCACAGGTGGGCAGCACTGCTGGGCACAGGTGGGCAGAACTGGTGGGTGGCACTGCTGGGCACTGATCATCAGTGCCCTGATAAACGGTGCTGATCCCTGCTCTGAAAGCGTGAGGAAAGTGCAGCCGAAAACTGGCAATTGCATTTCCCTGTGATCAACGTGTCATTGGACACGGCTGATCATGTGGTAAAAGGCCGCTGTGATTGGCCTTTTACCACATCACGTAATCAGCTGTGTCCGTAGCTGCAGTGCAGCCATCATTCGGCTATCTGAGGTCGGCAACTAGGTAAACATGGCACTACATTAAAAATAATAGAATATGTAGTAGTCAAAATTACAATTTCCAAGAAAATTGTCAAATGACTAGAGGTACTTTAAGTCTAACATTGATAAGGTTGAAAAGAGACACAGGTCCATTAACTTCAACCTGACTGTGTATGTGTATGTTTGAATTTGTGTTGCTTAGAATTTCATACCCCTGTACATTGTATTCACTGACTCTGTCATGTAGCTGCCCATTCCTCTATTTTATTAAGGTCTTCCTGTAATGTTCCTACATCCTGTGCTAAAGTTCTGTGCCTCTATAATTTGGTATCATCAGCTAAGATTGAAACTGAACTCCTACTTACAGGATCTTTTGCTCCTTCATTCAGTGTACAGGGACCCTAATACAGGTGGTGGGTGTGTCACTAGCCAAATCCCCAAGTGAAAACAGAGAGAATAAAGCCTAAAAAAAAAATAATGCAGCCACCACATCTATGGATTTGTAAACTGTACCATATTACATTTTTGGTTTTGGGTTTAATATTGCTTTAAGCAAAATCCAGAGAAACTACATCCACTGGCCTTCCTCAATTCAAATTACTATACACCTTCTCATAGAACGTTAACAGGCTGGTTTGACAAGGTAAACCCATGTTAATTTTTACTTATAATACCATTTTTGAAAATAAATTCTTAAATATAATCCCTTACATACCCTCATATATTTTTACATACTATTGATTTTGATGTTAGTTAGACTGGTCTGTAGTTCCCTGGTATACATCTCAACTATTTTTTAATATCAGTATCGCATTGACTCTACCACAATCATTTGGTACCATTCTATTCAGTAAGGAGTCTTTAAAGTGATATTAAAGTGATATTAAAGGTTAATTAAAAAAAAAAAGAGAGATAACAAACATGTTATGCTTACCTGCTTTGTACAGTGGTTTAGCACAGAGCATTCCCAATCCTCCTCTTCGTAGGTCCCCCATGGCTCTCCTGGCTTCTCCCCCTTGATGCTTGCTATGGGGGCACTGGTGCAGGCTCACTCCCAAGCTGCACTCTTTGCCTCCATAAGACACATAGAGCCACGACTCGACCCAGCCCCCACTCTCTCTCCACTGGCTGTGATTGACAGCCGTGGGAGTCAATGAGGAGAGAGAGATTTGGGACAACCGAGGCTCCAGTGCACATCACAGGATTGAGAGGGGGTTCAGGTGAGTAGTATTAGGGGGCTGTGGGGGGAACATCGCAGAGAAGGTTTTTTTTTACCTTCAGGCATAGAAAAAACATTCAGCCTTTACAATCACATTAAAAATGAGAAATATCGGCTTGGCTATAATAGAGCTGAGCTCCCTCAGGACTCTCAGGTGTAAGACATCTGGTACTGGTGATTTATTTTACTTCTGATTTCTGTCAACCACAGAGGTACATTTAGTACACTGGTATTAGTAGTAATGCTTTGTCTATTAGTCCTGTCTTTTGTGATCAGCTGCCATATGTGGCCAACTTCCTGTGTTCATCTTTTATGTTTTCTTTCCTTACCTGTTTACTATTGATATATTTCAAAGTGTTGGGGTTTTTTTTTTACTTACTGTGGCAATATTTTTTTTTTTTATCTATCTTAGATACCTTGGTTGCTCTCTTGATCTCTTGTTACATTCCTTGTAACTCTGCAACGACAAGGATGACCCTTCTGTTTTATACTTTTTTCATTTTGTACAGTTTTTTTTCTCATTTATTTTCTTTTTTAAAGCATTTCCACTTGTCATCCTTTTTTTATTTGGTCCCATTTAGCATTATACAGTAAGGAGCACAGCTTACTGGAGTAAGCCATTTTGAAATTTTGAGGTCTTGTCATACACACATGCCTCCCATTGCTATGGCAAATATAAGTAGACTATTATTGCTGTTACCCAAATTGTTTCTAATTTGCACATCTGTAATGAGCTGTGTTGTTTTGAAAAAAAATTGATCCAATAAAGAATTCTTTTTAGTTAGGAATTCTACCATTTAACCCATGAAATTGTCCCACAACTTGTTCGACAAATGGAAAACCTTTGTTGAGTGTGCAGTTCCATGTGCTCAGTCAAAATAGTTGAAGTTAAATGACATTACACAGTTTCCCAGCCATTTCAGTCAGTGAAAGGAATCTCTTCTTCATCCTTTATGTTCAGAGGCCTATAACAAACCCCTACATTTAATTTATCAATAGTTGAACTCACATGAAGATGATTTTAAAAATATAAGGATGAAGTCCAGAAATTATGTAAATAATTATGAATATTATAAGTACTTTTTACAGCTTCTCCTTTAGCTGGTCATTTAATCGCTTAAGTCTACCCAACAGCTAGCTTTCGTAGAGTGCCACATCCTCCCTTGGCATCAGAAAAACCACAGTATTTCAGATGGACCAAGTCAAAACTTCTAGACCCTTCTAGGGACCCTCTAGAAGTTTTGGCGGCAGGTGATTTAGCTGAACAGTATCCAACCAGATCTAAGCAAACTTTTAACCTTTAAAGAAACTTGTACTGAGGAACTCAATTTTGACCTCTCTTTTTGAAAATACAAGTTGACAGACTGATTTAGTGAATTAATCACTTTAATACTTTTGATGTTACTAAATTGGAACAAGTAGGCATGATTATAGTTCTTACTTCACTGTGAATTTGCTGATCTGCATGTTTGTTCTAGGTCAGTGATACTAAATTTACTAAAGTCATTGGATTGGATAGGCATGCCAGCCAGGTAATTAGCATTTTCAGAAGGAGGTCAGCAATAGTAACTGGTGTTATTTCTCTTAGTTTCCCTTTAATTTGCATTAAATTATTTTTTTGTATTTTATTTTAGTACAATTTCTAACCCAGTAATATTAGGTCAGTTACACTCACTCCAATTAATGCATGGAATGCAACATGTGAGATTGAAAGGCTTAAATCATGACAGCTATCTTTTAATTTAATGCTCCCCCCACCCCCAGCACCCTCAAAGTCTTATACTCAACTGTCTATGCTTTCAGCACATTTGCAACTATGGCCTATGGTGAGTCACTGTCAGGGCAGGAGCTGAGGAACGGACAGGCAGGCCTAACAATGTAACGCACTGGCTGACGACAACCACCACCCACAGACCGAAGTCCCTCAGGGCGCGGAGTCTAAGTCCCAGGCTGCCCTTCACCAGGGCCCCTGATGGTGGGGATGGACTTGACGCAGCCAGGAACCAGGTCGCGGCCCCCCGAGACACCTCAGCTGCGGTAATGGCCGCCGCCAATGGCGTGTAGCTGGTGGAAGAGACAAAAGAGTAGTCAGACAAGCCGGGGTCAACAACAACAGGACAGGACAGTACAGGACAGCAGACGAGAATCACAGGTCACGAGCCGGGTTCAGCAACAGAGGGTCAGATCAAAGGAGAATACAAAGAATAGTCAAGACAAGCCGAATCAGATACCAGGAGAGTCACGAGAGTCAGAACAGAGTAACAGCAACACAAAGACACAAGACACAAGTGCAAAGAGCATGTGCGGGCCACAGGCTTATATGTCATCAGCCACACCCCTCTGGAGGATGGACCACAGAAACCTGAAGGCATAAAAGGGCTCCCATCATGCACAGCAGAATCCAAGATGGACACCAGCACATGAAGTAACATAACCACAGGGAAAAGGTAGGACCTTGACAGTACCTCCCCCTCAAGGGCCCCTCCCCCTCCGCGGCTCAACAAAAGGTTTCTGAGGAAAGCGGGTATGAAAAGCGCGGAGGAGGGCAGGAGCATGGACATCCGCGGAAGGAACCCAGGAACGCTCCTCGGGACCATAACCACGCCAATGAACCAGGAACTGTAATTGACCGCGCACCAATCGAGAGTCCAGGATCCGGCTCACCTCATACTCCTCATGACCGTCAACCCGGACAGGACGGGGCCGAGGAAGAGAGGTAGTGAAGCGATTGCAGATCAGAGGTTTCAACAGGGAAACATGAAAGATATTGGAGATCCGCATCCCAGACGGAAGGGCAAGTGCATAGGCCACCGGATTCACTTTGCGGAGAATGCGGAAAGGA